TTACCCACCATAAGCACCAACTAGTTCAGAGTAACTATCTTCTCGCCTAGGCTTGGTGAGATACAAGACCTTGAAAATCCACCAGAGCTCCAGGATGGACCCAGCCCACACTCCTGTTCTGTGTGGTTCAATGCAGTCACCAATCTCCAAGGATGTCGTGGTCCATGCCTTCCCACCCTCCTGAACATGTATAATTATGGGCTGGTTCACTCCCTCTGCATCTAAATTGCCACAGAACTTTCTCAACCAGGAGGGTGTAGTGTTACAGACATGGTAGGACATCTGACGCTAGGTCCTCAAGAGCCTGAAGCTTCTACCTGGGACCACTGGACTCTCCCATTAGGAGAAGCAGCGCTGCACAGGCTACACGGGGAGTGTGCTCTGCACTGGGAGGAGGCCCCAGCTGCAAAAAACAAACCCTGAAGAGAGGAACACCATATAGAGAGTGGCCATGTGGGGAGGTGACAGAAATATCTGTGCAGAAGCCATGAGCTGGAGGCTAACTGTCACACAGAGGCCACTTTAGCAGATAAAACTACCCAGCAGGGTCCTTCTTGAATCTGTCCCACAAAACTGTGAGTGGTTCAGACAACTCCTTCCATCTCCTAGCAACCACAGTAATCAACAGTAACCAAGCAGCCCATGCTGAGGCTGGTCAGTATGTTACAGATTTCTAGTTAATCGTTGGCACTTAAAAATCCAATCTGGAGGCTGGGGAGATGACATAGTCGGTGACAGGCTTGTACAGTAAGATCAGGACCTGAGTTTGAAGCCCAGAATCCACATAAGAAACCAGGCACAATGACACACACTAGCAATCCCAGGGCTGGGATTAGAGACAGAAGGATGACGAGGTTCACTAGCCACCAGTCAAGTTCAGCGAAACACCTTGTATTAAAAGCTAAGTAGAAAGCAATTGGGAAAAGCAACCACCATTGACCATTGGCCTCCACATTTATAAACACACACACACACACACACACACACACACACACACAGAGAGAGAGAGAGAGAGAAAGAGAGAGAGAGAGAGAGAGAGAGAGAGAGAGAGAGAGAGACTGCATGCAAATATCACCATTTCTACTTTTCTCTAAAACGCAGAAGTGCCACTGCTTCAGGCCTGTGTCCCCCTGGCACATGGGAATTAGTGTCTGTCACACCTGCAGACCAGGCCCTTACTCTTAAGGACACCACAATGCCGCACCTCCTTGTTCCACTCCATGAAGCCAATGTCAGAGGTTCTTAAGTTTCACCAATACAATATGTTCCACAATAGGCTCCAGAGGCCAGGACCTATCCCTGGTGCAGGAGCTAGCTTGTTGGAGCCCATTCCCTATGAGGAGATGCCATGCTCAGCCTTAATGCCATGGGGTGGGGGGCTTGGCCCTGCCCCAACTTAATGTGCCAGACTTTGTTGACATCCTCATGGGAGCCCTCACCTGTTGGGAGGAGTGGATGGGCTGAGGGGAAGAAGCGAGGGGGCCCGGGAGGAGAGGTAGGGCAGAGAACTGTGGTTGGAATGTAAACTGAAACTAAACAACAACAAATAATATGCTTTAGAAAGTCGATCCTGGTCTGAAGGGGAAGGAAAGCAGGTCCGGGTTCCTAAGGAGAAAGAACGGGCGGTAGCCATCTTTGATTTTTTTTTTTCTTTTTAGCCTACTACTCTGCGGATCTACAGTGGACGGTGGAAGATTGTGGGTCGTTCTGCAGGCCGGCGGGGGCGCTGACAGACGGTAACGGAACTACTTGCATCGGTGGCCGGGAATCGAACTCGAATCCTCGGGCGCTCTACCCCCTGAGCCGTCTCTCCGGCTGGTAGCCATCTTTGAGTGTAAGAATCTGGGCTCAGTCCTAGAGAGCTGTGACCATCCTTCTCTCTCCAGCCCTGGAGTCTTGGTGGCCTGGCCCATCTGGCTACCTCTGGCTACAGAGATATGGATGTCCTGCATGTCCACAATTTCCAAAGCTTCCAGGATCCAGGGATTGTGAGGGACTGTGTGGAATATTCCCCAGGTGGTAGTAAAGGTGGCCAAGTGCCCGAGGCTGTAGTCCAGGGGCTCTATCCTAAACCTCTGAGGCGAGCCTCTCCTATGCACTCTCTCAGCTTCCTATAGAGCAGGAAGGGCACACCTCTGCATCCGGGGACCATGTCCACACTGCACAGCTGATGGAGTATCGTCTCAACACTTGTTTGCAGCCCCAAACACTTCCAAAGGCTTATGTGCCCTGAACCACGAGAAGATGCTGCCAGGAACCCTCTTTAGCACTGGAGGCAGGAAGCCAGGGCTGGAACTGCTTTCATTCTCTTCTTCAGTGAACACACTCCTGACCCCACCCATTCTTCCTGCCTCCATTTTCCACAGCGGATGGGGGAGAGGATTTCCCCAGGTATATATACCATTCCTGGGCTAAAGAACCCACAATGGTCCCCAGTGTTCTCTGCCAATCAGCACCTTCTGTACCCTGGCCCTGACGTCGCTCTCTCCGACCCACTGTGTCTCCCGTCCTCCAGTTTGCTGAAGGGCTCTGAATATGTCCCAGGGCTCTGTAACTACATGTTGCTATCTCAAGAAGGCGAATTCCCAGGCTTGCTCAGCTCAGGACCATCTGCCTGTTGTCCCAGTATGCCCACCGCCTCCTTCTCAAAGTCCTGGTGATGTAGTCACATCTGATAACTTGCCTTCACTCTCTGTTCATCTGTGTCTTTTCCCAAGTGCACATCTCATCACCCTCATCCAACCACCCAATCGAGGCTGTTGAAGAACTACTGTGTGCCGGCTCAGCGCTGGGCTCAGCACTTGATCGATTTCTCTTGCTGGGTCCTAGTCTGGCCAATACCCTGGAAGGACCCAGAGAAAGGATCTAGGTCCCATCCGATCTGTCCCTCAGTTCGACAGGGTCATGACACAAGGTGCTGAAGGAGTAGATGGAGTGCCAAGATTTCTCTGCAGGTGCTCACTGCCACACAAGGAGGGGCTGTCACACACACACACACACACACACACACACCAGGTGTACAGAGACTGAGTGCTCACTCCTACATACTGCTAGGTCCTTCCTATTTAAAAAAAAAAGTATCAATTCTCATCCTGTGGGGACAGCGAGACAGATCTATAGCAGGAAGTTTATTGAGCACAACCCAGTCTATGCAGAGCAGGAGGCACCACGGGGCCAGAACCTTCAGAGGAAGGGGACAGATAAGCCATCTTAGAACGTGTCCCTAAGGTGAGGCCACATGGGGAAACCCCAGAATCTCTGCAGAGCCTAGGGTCTAGGTTCAAAATCAGCTCCCTTCCTCATGAACTGCACGCCCTCGGGTAAATTATTCCTGCCATGTGGCATGCTGACCTACAGAAATCCGGGCTGATAGGACTTGCAAGAGCTCGCACACAGTAGGTTCTCTAAAAACTTAGTGTGTCTTGCATTGGTGTGCCTATTCACACTTCTGCTCCTTTTAGCCAGCATGGTGCTGAGCATGTATGTAATCAGTGCCACCTTTTGGCAGGAACAAACTGGCCAAGTGAAATGTGAATTTAAAAACAAAAACAACAAATGTGAAACCCCATTGCCACCACAACAAAAAAACAGACTCCTGCGGGCTCTGCCCACAGGTACAGAAAAGCTCTGTATGTTTTGTCAAGTCACTATAGCAACTGTGGATGCTCTAGCCAGCCCCAAGGTTGGTTAGTAATGATCAACTTATCTTGTAACCATGGAAACCCCAGCTTCTGTGGGATGCAGAGAGGAAGGCAGCCACAGACATCCTGTGAGTGTCTCTCCTCACTTCAGCCACAGCTTAGCTAAACACCCTTCCATCTGCAATGGTAGCGACTGTTCCGCATGACAATATTTACATACGGGTAGAATATGAGATGGGTCATCAGCCAAAAAGGGGAAGTCGTCAGAGTCCTTAGGATTATTGCTCACTTGCTTAAGACTTTGCCCAAGAATCTGGGTCTTGATTCCCCAGAGCTAATTTGGAGACTTTGTGTCCTTTGACCTCCCATTTGGGAACAACCCTCTATAGCCAGCCTGGCTTTTGATGTTACGTATTAAACATACTTCCAGCACACGGGTGAAGTTTGGAGAAAGGAATGTGTCCCTTCAAACATTGATCCTAAAGACAAGCAACAGGGATGGGGCCCTGGACACATACCCAGGAGACAACAGGGTTGGCTTCCCAACACAGCCACAGAAGGTGAAACGTCTTGTGGGTTGGGACTTGTGTCCAGCCAAATGTAGCCTCTCCCTGTAGCCACACACTGTGGTCAGCTCTGGGTCTTCCCAAGAACCATGCATAACCCCAGAAAAGGGTGTGTGCCTTTGTTCTGGCTCAAGAGACTCAACACCTAAGATCACAACTCCAAGGCATTCTCCTGCCTCCAAGACCACCAGGCACCAAGAGGTCATTTGTATATCTGCCACAAAGAGCCTGTTTTGTGTTCTGGGAAGGGTGGTGGTCTCCTGCTCAAACCCAGCACAAAGCAAAAATGCATTAAACCATCCATCTCTGTCACAAAGCCCGGTCACTGCCTTCCTAAGTAGCAGAGGCTAAAGTCTCACCCACAGTGGAGAAAAAGGGGGTTGCCCCGAGGATACCAACAAGTGCCAAGTGCCAGTGCCAAGCAAAACCAGAGTAGGGAGGGCAACTCCTCTCTAGTTCTCCTCTGCCAGTCCCGGGGCTCCCGTGCTAACACAGTGGGTGGGGGCTGGGCTGGGAGGGGCGACTTCAGCTCCCCAGGCTCTTCAGAGCTGTTTTGTTCAGAAGTGGGGTGCTCAAGGGAGACAGCTCCACTCCACCTTCGGTGTGTGAGGGACATGAGCCACTCCACCCAGGACAGCCAAGCTGTTGGCCCCGGGTACGCGCACCAGGTGGGACTGCCGGGCTCGGGACAAAGGACCTGGCCACTGACGCTAGAGCTGCACCGGGAAGGACAGCGAGGCCGGGGTTCTGAAAACTTGGAGACCCAGGGAGTGTGGGGAAGATTCCGGGTTACCTGCGCGGCCATAAAAGACAGATCCATGGTGTCGCTGCTGGCGTGGCTGCTGCTGTTGCTGCCCGCGCTCCAGTACTCCTCGCTGCTGCTGCTGTCGTCGCTGTCGCCGCTGCGGGTCCAGCCACCCGCACAGCTATCAGGGAGCGGACGGAACAGCGAGCAGGTGCCCTCAGGCCCCGGCGACCGTGACCTCAGCAGCCCCGGCGTGGTGGCGCTTTTGCAGCCTTCACGGCGTCCTCGCTGACTCCGGGCTTTGGCTCCCGACACCGACTGGGCGGGAGACCCCGGGCGCGGCGCCCCTCCACGTGACCACTCCCAGCCCCACCCCCGGGGGCGGGCCGAGCAGGACCCCTGATTTCTAGCCATCCTCCCTTTACCTTGTCCAAATGGGGAAACTGAGGCCTGCAGTGTGGCCAGCTAGGTTGGTGAGCCAGCCTCCAACCCAAATCCAGCGTGGTGGGCGCCCTTCCCAGGGCACCTGACTCAAGCTTTCCTGGGGTTGGCTGAGTTACGGGGTGACCCGGAGTAGATATACCCGGCTTTCATTGGAAGCCCTGTGCCCAGACTCCTGAGTGCTTGGCACTTAAACGGGGCAGAACAAAGCAGAAAGTCTAGCTTTTCTGTATTGTGTGTCTTGGGTGAAGTTTGAGTGTTTGTTTGAGCCTGGGTATCCTCATTTGTAAAACGCTAGTAACAAAATCTAGGAATTAAATAAACATGGCATATGTCACCATAGGGTGAGCTGTAGCACGGCCAGTGATCCTTAGTGGAGACTATGGAGTGAATGACCTTCCAGGATGATATACACAACCCTCAGACAGTGCCCGTGGCTCTGTTAAGACGTTTTACCTCAGAAAGGTAGCCCAAGCCACACAGGTGTCTTAGCTGAAATCCAGGGAGCCCCAGAGATGCCCAGTGGGCTCTCCAGGGTGTGTGTCCATCCCGCCATCCTCTTTCTCTCCTCCCTCTTTTTCTCCCTCCCCACCTTCTGCCCTTCTCTTTTTTTTTTTTTTTTTTTTTTTTCCTCTCTTGCTTCATTGGTCTCTAACTCTTCCAGGCTCAGATCTCTGGCATTTCCCCACCTTCTGCAGCCATCACTTCTGCAGCCTTCCAGTCTGTCCGGGCTGGTTGTGTGTGTCAACTTGACACAAGCTGGAGCCATCAGAGGGGAAGGAAGGGGTCTTAGTGATGGAAATGCTTTCATGAGATCCAGCTGTAGGGCATTTTCTCAATTAGCGATCAGTGAGAAAGGGCCCAGCCCATTGTGGATGGTGCCATCCCTGGGCTGGTGGTCCTAGGTTCTATAAGAAAGCAGGCTGAGCAAGCCAGGAGAAGCAAGTCGGTATGCAGCACCCCCATGGCCTCTGCATCAGCTTCTGCCTCTGGGATCCTGCCCTGTTTGAGTTCCTGTCCTGACTTCCTTCACTGATGAACAGCAATGTGGAAGTGTAAGCCAAATGAACCCACTCCTCCCCAGCTTGCTTTTTGATCATGGTGCTTTGTTGCAATACAAATGCTAAGACACGGTTCAAATACCTGCTTCTGGTTTCAGTGCCCAGAACTACCCACTGGGTCCCATCCCTCTATAGCAGTGGTTCTCAACCCTCCTAATGTTGCAACCCTTTAATGCAGTTTTTCATGTTATGGTGACCCGCCCCAGGCCCAACCATGAAATTATTTTCATCGTTGCTTCATAACTATAATTTTGCTACTGTTATGAATCAGAATGTAAATATCTTATATTCAGAATTTCTGATATGTGACCTCTGTGAAAGGGTCATTGGACCCCCCAAAGGGGTCTCGGCCAAGGGATTGAGAACCACTGCTGTGTGGCCGAACAGTTCCTCAGCCTACCCAGAACCCATTGCTTCTCTGCACTTTGACCATGAAGCCTTATACGTGCAGAGGTGTATGTGCATGTGTGTGTGTGTGTGTGTGTGTGTGTGTGCACACATATATGTGAATGTGTGTGTGTGCACATATGTGTGAATGTGTGTGTGCACATATGTGTGAATGTGTGTGTGTGTGTGTGCACATATGTGTGAATGTGTGTGTGGATAATTTAAAAAATGAAAACCTCCTGCAGTCTAACAAAAAGAATAAATGGTGCTGGAGAGCCTGCCTGTCATTAAAGACTCAGGCTCACAATTAAAAAGTGTAAGCAATGTTCTTTTACCCTAAGGGGCATCTCTCCAAAGGTCTTTCTTGCCTGCCCCGGCGCCCCAGCCTCCTGTAAGCTGAATGTTCACCATCATTGCTCTCTTCCTGCAGCCCCACCCTGATCATTTACTGACTTCAAACCTGTGTGGGGACATAGAATCCCTCTGAGATGCCTTCTTCCTGACCTCCCTGTTTCAGTCAGTACCGTGTTAGCCTTGAGGGTGACCAAGGCCACCATCCACCTGCTGGTACTTACACACTCTCCAGGTTTTCTCCTAAAGTGAGCAATGCTTCCATGACCGCATTTGACCTCCCAGTAATCTGTTCTCTGTCGTTGTGATTTTATCATTTCGGGAAAGTGCTACACATGGAAGCATGACTAATAACCCTCCGGGGTCAATGCCAATCAACCTGGTTACCAAAAATTCATCCAGATTGTCATGGCAGCAACAGTTAGTTCTATTTTATTGCTGAGTAGGATTTTATTTTATTGATATACCACAGTTAGTTTAACCACACATCCATCAGAGGGCATCTCTGGTGTTTCTGTTCTTTGGTGCTTATGAAAAGAGCTGCTATACACATGCTTGTCTGAGGAGTCATTTGAACACGTCCTTCACCCATTCCCATGGCTGTGGTCATGGAGCAATGCTACTTCTACAGTATGCCCCCATAGAGCACGGCATTTAGTGGCTCCTCAGCCTGCAGGCCAGACCTTGCCCACTAGAAACCCAGACTTCTCCTGACTGCGCTCTGGAGGAGGAGAGAGGCTGGGTGGAGGCAAGTCAGCTGTGTAGCACACATTCTCATTGGTCTTACTGATAGAAATTTGGAGTTAGATACTAGCGGATGAAAGCTAAGGGATCAGAGAAGCAGAGTGGCCAGCCACTAGCGAGCTCTTACCTCTACCAATGCTCAGATCAAAAGGACAAGATTCTGTCTTTAGGGATCCTCAGACTGCAACCTCAAACTGCCTCTGAACTCCTGTCTCCTCCCGCCTTGTATTCCTCTCTTCACCCAGCCATATCACTCCTGTGTTCATCTCACTAGTGCTGGGATTAAAAGTGTGTGATCTTCAGTGCTGGGATCACCTTTGTGTGAACACTGTTTCTCTTTTAGACAGATTCAATTTCGTGTAGCCCAGGATGCCTTGAACTCACAGAGATCCACCTGCCTCTGTCTCCTGAATGCTGGGATTAAAGGTATATGCCACCACTGCCTGGCCTCTCTAGCTAACTAGTGACTTAGCTCTGCACTCTGATCATCAGGCAAATTTTATTTGTTAGATCACAAACAAAATATCACTACACAGTTGTTTTCATTTCTGTTTGGCAAACTCGTAACTCCCTGAGCACCCTGTGATCAGTACCAAAGTTCAGCCCTATATCCTTGGACAAGGCTCATCTGCTCTCCTTGTCCCTGGGCTGTGGACTTTTGACACCTGAAAGAAGAGGCAGGGTGGTCAGCCAACGTGAAGTTCATGTCCGGTGTTCATCACGGTGTCTCAGTAGTAAGAACGAGCTCATCATACAGTAAAGAAGGAAAGGGGTAGCTTCCTGTGACACCTGAGGACTCCACAGTTTGTCCACGAAGGCCAATCCTCGGGTGTAATTCTGGTCCGCTTGAGGACCATTTTTACTTTCTCAAGTTGACAAGTCTCAACACACTGACAGAATTTTTCCTTCTTTTCATGCCCCGTGTACCAGCAATCCCAAAGTCACTGCAGAGTGACTTTCTGATGGACGGGTAACCACAACTTACGCAGCCACTGTCCTGTTGATGAGCACTGGGGTTCTGCCAAGCCTCTGGCTGTCGTGAATAAATTTCCTATGAGCGCTGGTGTCTAAATCTCTTTAGAGACATGCTGTTTGTTCTGCGCATTCTACGTCCTCAGCAGAACACGAGAGTCCCAGGTGACTCACTTTATGCCAACACTTGATACCTTCATCGCTCTTCGCTTAGCCACCCTACTGGGTGTGAGGTGGCGTTTCCTTAGGTCTCAGATATGTATTTCCATGACGACAGATAATGTTGAGGCTCTGGGACCATTGGTCTCTTTTCCTCCGCGAATGGTCTGTGCAAATTTTTCACTCACTTTTGAAAGCTTGGCTCGCTTCCCATTTTGTTATTGAGTTGTTAGTGTCCTTTACATGTTTACATAGAAACAAGTTCTATGCCAGACACGTGCAAATATTTTTCAGTCCGTGGCATGTTTTAGCTTTAATAAAATCTAGTGAATCTTTAATATCCTATTTCCTCCTCTTTAAGCTTCAAACTGTCATCTATTTTTATTTTTATATGAGATTTTAATTAAAGGTTGGGATTTTCTTTTTTCTGAAACAATATTCAATTGTGCCAGAGCCATTTGTGATAAAAACCAACCAAACAAACAAAAACAGCAAAACATCCTTCCACTAGTACATTCCCAGGAGAGCACTAGTAAAGAGACTAAGCATTTAAGGTGGCACCCACTCAAAAGCTCATTCTACATCTCTCCTTAACCGTTGGCTTCTGGCTCCCACCTTAACCCTGGACAGAGCGACACATCAGAGGATCACTCTCCTCTCTGAGGTCATTGTCATTTCTAAATGCTCTGTCAGGAATGCTCACCAGGCATGACAAATGAACCTCACAGATCACCTCCAACTCTGTCAACTGTTACTCAGTGGTGTCTCCTGGGTTGCCAAACTGGCTAGCAGTGGGCTCTGATTTCGGCCTTCTCTCTGGTTCTGTCTGTATCAGAAGATGTTGGAATCTAGATCCTCTGTGTATTTATGCTGCACAAGGGCAGAGGGGCTTAGGGGCAGCTACACTCCCCTTCTGTGGCTGGGTAAGGGATTCTGTCTGCCTAGAGGAAGAGGTATCTGGCAAGGGTCTCTTAGACAACCACGGCCAGCAGAGAAACCACCCACGGGAGGCAGGAAGGTAGTTTGGCTCAGTATGCCTCAGTAGCTGGTGTTGGTTTAAACTTTGGGAGTCTGACACAGACATACCTCGTTATTTATTTTAGGCATATTGAAATATATTCAGTTTGGTGAAAACTTTCCTGGTGATAATTAACTCAATCCCATGTGCACAACAAAGCACACATAAATCTCCTTGAGGAACAAAGTAAGCTAAATAAAGATGGTACTACTTCGAAACTCTTTGGAAAGCACACGCAATGCTTTCCCTAAAGATGGTTCTAGAGATTAACTGAGACAAACAATCGGAGGGTGGGGGGATCCAGTGTAA